GTAGTATATAAATCACAAATGTTTTCTATCAGCATTGAAAGCCTTCTAAATATTATCAGAGAACAAAAGCTTTAAGTGTGAAATGACTACAATAAATTCTTCATTGAATATGAATGAACAATTGCAGACCGATTACAACATGATAACCGCCAGCAGCTAATGCTAAACAAGTTTAATAGTATATATACGCGAATGCTTACTGAACATACACATTATTTATGATATATTTGTTCGCATTTTCTTCTCCAGTTGATGTTGTTGTTATTTGCTATCGGTTCTTTTATATGTGTGCTCTTTTCTTTCTTACATCATCATTTTGTTCTTTAATGCATACTACCGTTTGTTCTATAACCACTGATCATTCCAGTATGTTTGCCATCTAAACAGACATATTGTATTCGAACGATGGTCTATTTTCTCTTCAACAGATCGCGTTCACTACTATAATAACTTATATCAGAATAACCAGACGTATCGTGATTGACATACCACACGCGCGTTCTATCTTACGACGTCATATTAGTTGGCTAGAGCAAGTGAGATAAGTTCATTTACCATCCTCTTTTTCTCTCTCTCTGTCCGTCTTTTCTTCAAGAGATATTACAGAATGATGATCAAGCAGACGTATATCGACGAAAGATTCTTCTTCTTTGCATTTCTCTTTATAGTTTTGTTGTTGAATCATTTGCTTATCATTATAGAGAACGGACAACGCATACATAATACATACATACAATAACTTGCATAATCATATTTGTGACTGGCTGTATATTTGGACCATACGTCACCAGGACATCGTTAAAAGAAGAGAAAGACGATATTTAAGAAAAAAAAAAATCAAACAAGTTACCCTTCTCGGTAAGTTACTATACGTAAACGTCGATCGTTTTGTATCGATATCTCCTGAGAGAATACAAGATAGACATAGTCAACGGCTGACAGACGATCTTCGGCCATGAAGCATGTAAGAGAAGGATATTCTCTGATGAGTATGTACTGAAACCTTGATCTGTCCTCTTTTTGGTATTCATTGATAGTTATACCTTAGTTCGATATTCTGGATAACAAGTAAATTGCGCGCTTCTAGCTTACTCTACTATACTTTCAGTTTTTTTTTGTCTACTTGTACGTTCGATTATCGAATGGCTGCGTTCGGTATCTCATTTCCTAAACTAACTCTATGTCGAACATCAACATCGAAAGTTGATACTAATACTGTTTCAACGACAACGACACCGACGACAACAACCCCACCACCAACAATAGTAACGACTGCTCCTCGAACTCTTTCCCTTTCAATTAAAAATGTACCAAGTCAACCACTTCATTATGATATTTCAACAACAACAACAACAGCAGCAGCAGCAGCAGTAAAAAAGAAACCAACATCATTTGCTACAATTCTTGCTATTGATGGTGAGACTAAACAATTACCTAAAACTTTATCTGTTTTCAACGAACTTCAACTTGATGATTATGATAATAAAAGTAACAAACATTCTTTATTTTTTTGTTATACAAACAAAAAAAAAGAAATATCCTTGTACATGTCTAGAATCTGGAAACATTGATGAAAACAAAAGGCGAGAAGAAAACTCAACTGATAACATTGTTTCCTCATCATTATATCCTTTGGGTACTATTGATTATCGGTCTGATACTCGATTTCTTGCCAAAATTGATTCAACAAAATTATTACATGATTCTAAAGATAAAGAAAAAAATTTCATACAAGAACAACATTCAAATCATACATTTACACCACCAACATCAAGTTTAAGTAATGAATCATCATCATCATCAATATCAGGTGATTTACCTCAACTTAAATATGCTATTGAAAAATTTCTTGTCGATGATGATGATCCGGTTTATCAAATAGCTGAAGAATTTTCATCTGCTTGTTCTCTTTATCAACAAGGTTGAAATATTCAAAATCCGTTTTTTCTTTATCTTATATCATTTATTCTTTCTTTTTATATGTGATAGATTACAATGGAAATGCTCATAAATCAAATGAAACAACATCGAATTTAGAACATTCTCAGCATGATAAAAGTGATAATATAGAATTTAATTCAATGCACAAGACAAATATTCATCATGAAATATTATGTCATCCTTCCTCGACATCATCAAATAATATGAAATGGTATGTAAGTGAATTACGAATCAATCGACCATTTATTTATCGTACACAATGGACAAATGGACAAGAACGAGGAAACAATCGAAAATTAAGTCATTCAGTAAATGATCTTAAACAAATTTATAATGTCATATATCGTTCGGATAATGACAAATACAAAAAACCGGCAATAAGTAATATAGATTATATTACTTATTCGACTTTATCATTACCCTATTTTAATAATCAACAACTACAACTACAACAGCAACATCGTCGTCATCAATCTGATGATAATATTCTTCTGAATAATCGTTTATCATCTACAGATGATGATGATGATGATTTAAATAATTTTCGTAGTGATGACGATGATCAACATTTATTACGTATGTTTCATTTATTATATTTAAGATTTTTTAATTTCAAATTTTTATAGCATTGACTATTCAAAGAACATTAGATCGTTCACTTGGTAAAGATGATACATTAATTAGAAATGAATCTGTTAAAAAGAAATTATTTGATATATTAAATGATGATGAACTTGAAAATGCATGTCTTGAAGATATGAGTCAAGAATTTGAAAAACTATCTCTTACTCATCATCATCGTCATCATCATCATCATCATTGTGATCTTCCAATAATTAATTCATTTTCATCATCATCCGATGATGTTTTCTATTCGTCATCTCCAAATGATTTTCATTTACCATTTTCATCAGCTCCACCACTTTCATCATCGTACAATGAAAATCTTTCAACCAATATAAATAATCCTACAGAACGTTGTTTCGGTCGATCACGTTTAATTACTACAAGTCTTGATAAAATTCCAATCAATTCTAATGCATATGATCATAAATCTTCATCATATCATTCACGTCCATCATATGATAAAACTCTACCATCATGGTCCACATCACCATTACCACAATGGCGTACAGATGATCAACTATCGATGGTATCAGTACAAAAAAGACATTCATCGAAAAATGATGATTATCTAAATGGTATCGATACTATTGATCCTAATCGATTATTAAGAACAAAAGTTATTGAGTATGGCGTTAAAGGAAATAAATATATAGCAAAGTATAATAATAATAATAATAAAAATAATAATCATCGGAAAGAGCAAAAGCATGTAAGCTATTCATTATTGAATGCATCGACACCATTAGTCGATGATTCGACGACAATTCTTCCTATTATTCAAGATAAATCATCAAATATTATTATGTTCATTTAGAAAAGAAACGTTTTCTTCTTCTTCTTCATTTTTTTTTGCTTGTAATTTACCATCAGTATTTCCTTGTCATATAAAAACGTGCAATCATGAGTGTGTTTTCTTTTTTTGTAAATCGATTAGGAACAGTATATGAAATTTTTTTTTAATTGTATTCATGAATGCAATCAATAAGCGATGAATTTCGGTTTTTGTTGTTGTATTGTTATTGCACTATGCTTAAAAATTTTCTTGCAAATCATCTGTATTATTTATTCTTTAGTCTTGTTGATGGGTTATTAATAAGAAATAATTCCTTGTCCACACAGACAAACAGACAGACTTATGAATGTAGTTTAGTTAGAATTTGCTAATTTAGCACTGTATTCTTTATAATAAATTAATACTTGATTATTAATACATGAATACAAGGTCAAGAAATATCAGAAAAAATGCGCTAATTTTTACCAGATGTAATCAAATTCTACACATATTCATACTAACTAAGTAAGACTCTGAAGGACATTGTAATAATGTACATGTCTAGACAGATGATTCTCTAGGTGTTTTGTGTTTATCTCAATCTTTGGTATATTGTTTTTCTTTGTATTAATTATTCATTTAAGTTAACTGGAAGAAAAAGAGATTTATTGTATTTATGGCATTATTCTCAAAAGAAAAACGTTTATTTTTTGTCGAAAACATCAAACTTGAGATAAATGTATGGAAAGCTAGCCTGAGGTCTGATCTTTCAGAAATGGCATAATGTTTTGATTCTGTTTTTTTTGTTTTTCTCTCTACTGATGTTTGTATAATGGAACACTTCAGAATTCTCGAAGGAGTTTAATTGTAACAATGAAATTTTTAGTTTGCTTGAAAGAGCATGTCAGCATACGGTGTATTATAAAGTCTGATTTTTGAATTAAAGTTTGTTACTATTATATAAATTGGCGCTATTTTTATGAGATATTGAACTTTTCATCCATTTTCTCTCCCTAAGAATTAAGAATTTAGAAAAAGAAAAAGGTTCTATCATGCACTATATTCTGACATGCTCTTTCAAACAACAAAAAACTCATTTAATATCTCCTGAAAATATCATAATATAGTGCTGAAAATTTTATCATAACCTCCGCACTCCAGTACTAATATATCCTGAAAATTTCCTGTGATTTGCATGTATCTAGTTCAAAATCGATTGTTGAGCAAGTCTTATAAAACTATGATGACTTCTTAAGAGATGAGCAAATCTAATATTCAATAATAAAAGGATTCAATCACTATTTCTTTGTTCATTTAATCTTAAATCTTAACAAGATAATCTTTAACAAAATGATTATTCCGTAGACATATATATTGTGAGTGCTAAATCATTGAACTAAAACAAGTTATTAAAGTAAATATAAAAACAAAATTGGTTCGCGCGTTCAATGAAGACAAAACGAATAAAGAAAATACAAACAAAAAAAAAAGATATCTATTGATGGATTTATTTTTTTCTTCCATCTCCTCATAAAAAAGAAAATGTTACAACGAAGAAAAAAAAATATACTATTCTTCATATAATTATTAATATTTAATGAAACTAACTCTTGAACATTTCTAATACTTTCACGATAAATAATTAATCATTATTAAATATATGGATTATAATCAACAAAACAGTGATGGTGATAATTCGACAGTAACCTTCAAGCAACCTCAAAATTCTTTACATTTAACATTATCAACCACATCAACATTAGATTCAACATCGAAAAAAACAAATTCTCTTATGATATCAAAACAATCCAATCTTAATATTGATTATGCAATAAATCGAATTAAATCATTACGCAAACGTTATTATCAACAACAAAAACAAATAGAACATTGCACATCATCTCATTCAATAAATACTAGAAGTATATTACCTTCTACTACAACAATAATGAAAAAACCTGAAAAACAACAAAAATCATTAAAAAATTTTTCTAAAATACAAACACAAGAAGCTCGACCATTAGGTATTTGTCTACGTAAATGTATTCAATGTCGACAATTTAAACATATTCTATTAGCTGAATGTACTGTTTGTTATCGAATGATGGATATTGATTTAAAAGATTGCAAATGTCAAATAGTTACTAACAAGAATATTATTGATCATTTTATATGTTCAATATGTAATAGTGAATTAACACTCGATGAATATATTATTTGTGCTAATCGAACATGTCAAACAACATTATCAACATTGATAAATAAAGAAAGTATGAATGAAATTGAAGAAAAATCTGTACTTTCTACTATTCTTACAAATATATATTATCCTAAATCAACACATAGAACAGTTGCTATACAAGCTAATACATTAATCAATTTACCATCAGTTCAAAAATTTTTACCAACTATCATAGATGATGAAAATGAGAAATCATCATCATCAATGTCATGGTCTAAACATGATTCAGATTGGACAATAATTACATCACCAGATTCTTCAGACATCTCTTCTATGAGTATTGCTAGTAATATTAATGTATCCTTGGATAATATTACAAGGAATGTGACAGCTGCATTTAATTCCAATCAACCAACAAAATTAACTTTACAATCTGAAGATAAATTACGACAACATCAGTCACAAGTACGACATATGTGTATATAGGATAGCGGACAAAAATCGCCACACTTGAGAAACTCAGCAATTAGAAGCTTGAAAATTTTTCTGTATATATTTCATCAAGAGTGTAGGTCAGTGACATAATTCTACTTCAATTACTATAGTACAAAGATAATTATGATTGATGAGATCTTTTTTTTTTTGTTGTACATTTAACTTTCTAAATTGAAATGGACTGTTTACTGAATTTTGTACTACTTTCTTACTAAATACATGATTAATTCTTGATTTTTTTGACTGGATCTGAAATTCTATCTTACACTTGTTCTTTACTCAAAAAATGAACTCATTTTCTCAAAAAATAGCGTCTCTGGATGTTTCTGAAATTTTCATCTCATCAACATGATGAACATAGCTATGGTATTTCCTATCAGTACATAGTTTGTTTACGGCACTTATAAACACTGATATTCAACGGTAGAGTTAGCTTTCTCTACGAGTTGAAACTTCATTCACTGAATTACTATTGCGTTCTCATCTCAAAAGGACACCAGATGATTTATTTTTCCACATCAACAGCCACACTGCTAAAGATAGGTGATGAATTCCAAATACATTAGTTGTATAAATAGCTTGGATATAACACTATATAATGAGCTGTTAGCTGACCTTAAAAGCTCATCGTTTCCGAAGTTAATAAAGTTCAAAGACAATATTGGTACCATCCATCATAATTCTCTTTATACTTAAGTAGTCGAAACAGAATTATGTCTTTCAGTCCTCCAATACCTATTATGATTGACATCCTCTAGGACAGAGACCTTTGTTCACTACTACAATTTTCATCAGAATATGAGAAAACAATAAATTTTCTTGTTTATGCTTTATAGTTAACAAATACTAATGATAAAATAATAAATAATAATCTAGAATTTATTGAAATGCCAAAATCACCTCGATGTTTACCAATAATGAATGTTCATAGTCGTCGTGATCGACTATCGACATTACTTAAACTGAAAAAGAATGAAATATGTCAAACACAATTATCTTGTCTAATGGATATTGATGAAATGATTCGATGTGATGAATTAGTCGATCCAATTGTTATACGAACAAACAATCTAACTCATATTGAACGTCAAATTCAAGTAGATACAATTAGAGGACGTTTTCATGGTTTATGTCAAACTCGCATTGAAATAGATGATCGTATTGAAAAAGATTCAACAATAAATTTAACAAATGATGACAGAATTTTACAAGCACTTATCGATAGAGATGGTAAATAAATGACTATAAAAAATATAATTTAAGTTAAATAAATATATGTTTATTGTTATAGGACAACGATGGTCTGAATTAATTGATCAATTAATAAATGAACAATCAAATTTTTCATTAAGTGATATTGCACAACAATTACTTGATACTGTATGTAAATTTAGTGTCATTTCAACTAAACAGTATAAACACTATCCGACATTTTTAAAACGAGTATTATCATCAGTAGAAAGGTTGGAAAAAATGCTTGTTAACAGAGAATGTAGATATTGAGTTTCTCTAATTCCACATTCGCATTTATACTCAGATGGAAGGATTGGTACTATCAACTTAATGCAAATACTAACACCTCCAATCGAAACTTCTATCTAGTGACTGATGAATTAATGAAAGATTATGCGTTCAATATGATTACAATAAAATATCTTGCCAATAATATGAACTATTGAATTATATTCCCATTTCTATTATTACTGTAATTTTCTCTAAGATAAACTTGCATTTATTTTTCTTCATAAAATACTATGGAATAAAACATGTCGATGAAACAAGACCAAACTTATAAAATTTCAATTTTGAAATTCTTAAATTATTTTGTTTTTTTTTTTGATTGACTTCTCTAGATTGAACGTTTATATACTACTGAACGATTAAATAATTTAACAACTGGTCAATTACAACGTAAAGTTCGTTATGCAATGTCTCAATTAAAACATATTGATGAAAATTCATATTTACGAAATAATTTTAAAACAACAAAAATTAATCATACAAATATAAATTCAAGAAAACAAACAGAATGTAATGGTACAATGGATATGGCAGTAACAGTCAGACAAATTGATAAACATCAAACAACAGCATCACCTGATCATATTTGGAAATCATATGTTGATCGTTTATTCGATCAAGGTCATTCAGCTAATGAAATTCAACGATTATTACATAAAGCAGCAGAAAAAACGATGCAATGTGATGATTATCGTTTACAAGATGTTTTTAATTATATAAATACAAAAACAAAACAACAACGAGCAAAAACTGCACCATCCAAAATTGCATCTTCACCAAAAACGATACCAGTAACATCTGAACAATCTCAATCAACGAATTTATTTCAATCAATAAAATTCAACAAAACATCGGATAATAGTAGTAAGATTATGATATGTCCTTCAACTTCAATATCAGTAAATGTTTTTTCTTTATTATTTTGTATAAAATATAATATAATTATAAATATTTTGAAATACATAGGCAAGAAAAGAAATGTCGAATGAATTATCATCTACTTTTATTAACAAAGACCAAAGGTCTATAACTGAAAGAACAAAGAATAAATCTAGTTCGTCTAATACTTCGCTGAACACTAATTTAATTAAATCATCTAGTATCGAACCAAATATTATTCAAATAGAATCAACGGAGAATAAATTCATTACTGATTTAAATAAGAATGAAGAAGAACGAAATTTATCATTATATTCGTCTATTGATCATGAACATGTGAATATAATGGTAAAATCTAGTCTAGTTACTATGAATAAACAACAATCTATAGCCAATAGAGGTTAGTTCTTTACTCACTACGAAGTTATTGTATCATCTTGAAAACTTTCTTTTTTTATTTTCATATTATAATAAACTATTTTCAATATTTCAATGAAGTTTCTTTTTATTGATTTCTTTTATTGAATAGAAACAATAATACCAAGTGAAAAAAATGATAACTTAGACAGCGATAAGATTGTCATTACTAATGAACAAAAACCAAGTCAAATCCAAAAAATAATTGACTCTTCAACTTCACAAACTAATAGAGCATCTAGTTTATATAATCTAAAAAGTAAAAAAAAAAAAAAAAAGAATTCTATACGAAAACCATTAAGAAATAATAAGAAAAAAAAAACATTCAATTCAATAGGTTCTTCAACTACGAGAATTACATCTGTAACTGATATGCCCTTGACAAATTTTGAAGAGCCATCCATTGATGCATTACATCATGTTGAAAATACTCATCTTCATGAACATTCCTTGAACATTCCATTCGAATTAAATAAATTAATTGATATTATCTTCGAATCGAATTTACGCAAACCAGATAATATTGAAATTTTGATGACAAAATGTATTGAACTTTTAACTAATGAAGAACAAGTTATTGTACCACAACTAGAAGAAGTTCATTCTCAGCATATGAATGAAGCTATATCTAATACATTAAATCTCTTACAAGAATATAAAAAACTAACAATGCCATTTATAATAAACTATGAGGATTTATCATATAATCGACACATTTCAAACATGATCAAGATTTCATCTGATAGTCAAAGTAATTTCATTTGTCTTGTAAGATAATTTAACTCATGTGATCAAATTATTATAGTTTCATTAAAATTAGTCAATGAGAACATGGAACAAACTATTGAATCTTCATCTCAACCTATTCAATCCGACATAGATCTAGATTTAAAAAAACAAGTGAACACATCAGAATATCAAGAAACTGTTAGTTCTATAGAATATCGTCCTATATCATATACTTTTTCGAATGAAAAGGGATCAACAGAATCTTCAAGACAAGAATTCATTTGTTCAACAAACCATATTTCATTAAAAACCAAAGAGTTAGACGAAGAATTGGTCACGAATAAAAATGATCTGAATAATATATCGGACATACCTTTGAAAATAGAAAGTGAATTATATGATGATCTATCTCTAAAACAATGGCTTGATGCTCTACTTTCAAAATTATCTGATAACATCAGTAGAACATCAAGTAAGTGTTAAGTGAAATTTTCTTGCGAGTCGTTCAAATACAAACCCAAATGAACAAATTTTTATAGATAACTTTTTGACTTCTGTATCTTTATTAGTTATTGATCAAACAAAGATTAATGTCAAAGATAAACAAGAATCTATCATTATGAAACCAGTAGATGAACATGTATCATCATTGAATGAACAACGTTCGAAATCATCTATATCTATTAAGGAACGTACAACAAATATGATTGAAACAACTGATGACAAACACAATATACAATATGTAACAGATGTAATCATGCTTAAAAAAGAATATGCTATGTCAATCATCATTCCTGATCAAATTTTTTCTATGATTGATGAACATTTTCAATTAGTTGAAACAAAATTATTACAGACGAAAGTAGCAACAGATTCTAAACAGATTTTAAAATCAAATGATCAGTTGCTATCATCAGTGAATGAGGAAAATATTGAGCATGTCAACAAAGAACTTTCAAACTTCAATAATGATTTTGATGATAAATTTCAAACGTCTTCTTTCGCTACCCTATTACATGCAAATCATGTCGATGAAGAAAAACAATCTATATCATTTGTTGTTAATGATGAAACACCATCTATAACCGGTCGATCTTCAGCTCCTTCAGATATTGACTTATCAGAACAATTAAATCAACTTCAAATACATGAATGGTCCGTATCTCCAAAACAATTAGTACCGTTGGATCTATCAGAAAGTAAAGAAAAATTTGAATCATCACAAAAAATATTACCGATGTTTGAATCAGAAGACATATTGGTAATTTTTTTTTCGATTTAATTTTGGTTTTATTCATGTATTTGAATCATTTAATATGATTTCTTATTTTTTTAGTTATCAAAAACTGATATGAATTTTGTTCCAGAAACAAACATAGAATCATCACCATCGAATGATCAAGAAGAAGAGAAAGAAAAAACAAAATCTATCTTGTCATTTTCTTCTGAAGACAATGAACATGAAGTAAGTTATTGTTTCCATTCTTATATAATTTGCAGTTTTAATGAATACATTAATATAAATCAAAACATCTTAATTTTCTTCTACTACTTGTAGAGTTTAATAGAAACAAATGAACCTCATATAGACATTATAACATCATCTAAATCTTCACATATCAATAAACAAGTATTCGATGAACATACGCCCATAACTGCTTCAATAGTATTTAATCATCAGAATGAAATTAGTAAACTTCAGCTACCAGTTTCAACAAAATATTTCAGTACTTCTAATGATATACAATCTAATTCTTTTTTGATTCACTTGAATCATCAAACTAGTACTATTCCGCATAAAAAATCCATATCTAATCATACTCCAATGCTAAATGAAGAGAAAAATTCATCAATCAATTCACATGATCAAAATCTTGTAATAGAAACATCAATCCAGAATAGTGAAGATAAAAAATTATCAAGTGAAAAAATAGATAATGTTATTACTAATCATTTTCACGAATCTACTATTCTATCATTGAATCATAATATTACACCACAATCAGTAAAATCAATACTTTATCCATCAAAAACTACAGTGAATACCTGTTAAATTATTAAACTTTATTCATCACTATTGATTATTTAGAAGATTGAACATATCAAATACGACAAGATAACTACATCATTACCCACCTCATTAGAACCAGCCACAATTCCTATAACGTAAATTGAATTATATGTTATTTAAAGAGATGATATTTCATATATCAGCTTGTCTAAACGTAACGTAGTTTATAGAAATTATAACATAAGGTCTTATTCGTAACATTGTTAGAGTAGAAAGTTGATCAAGTTTTATTGCAATAATATCTCAATGTGATAAAAAAAAGCAGAAGTTTATCATTTTGCAACAATAAAGACTATACTTGATAGTTCACAGTACATTTGAAAGCGAAGGTTCACTATTAAACATCAAGGTGCACGATTAGTTCTAAAGTCAGATCGAATAAATACTTAATGTATGAAATAGAACGTTACGTGGGCAAAGCCGATGTATAGATACCAAATCTTGACAAACATTATTTTTCCAGTTCTTAATGAATTCTTCAGACTATGACAATCATTGATTTCTTTTTCCACTAGTCGAATGTTTGATTATCGTCATGAAGTTGAAAATGAAAAATTATCTTCACAATTAGAAGAAAGAGTAACAGATAATAATACTCATCAGTCAGATTTGAAACAGCAATCATCTGTGACAAATAGAGTGATTCGTAATGGTACTCCTTCATCATCAATGCCAAAACTTTTACTAAAACGTTCTTCGATCAAACAAAATTCTGCTACTTCACAAATAAAGAAACCAAATGCAGCATCATCTATTACAGATATTAGTACATCTTCAAGTAATACGGGTACTATCAGTCATTTGCAAAGTACACATTCAATAATAAGTGATCAAGAAGAAGTTATATCATTAAAAACAACAAATAAAACAAAGAATTCTAACAATGAATTTATATCAAAAGTTGATTCTACTTCTAAACATACCATATTAAGAAAAAAAACACCACAATCATCACAAAATCAGTCATTGATATCTTTAAATCGAAAACAACATAATATCGAAATATCAAAGAAAAAATTTACAAATAATAGTTTATTAACAAATTCAGAATTAGCATATGATACTGAACAAGGATCTGATGTATGGATGAATAGTCATGAAGATATTACTCAAAGTATTAATGACCAAAATGAAAAAAAATCAAAGATTCATAAACGACAACAAAAAAAACAAAATAAAAATCGAATAATTGATGGTTCAAAATTTATGCCTTTGAACTTAAAAGCACGTAGTGATCATCAAGCTTATACTGTAGATTCTTCAAGATGTAAAATTTTGCTTCTTTTTTTTCTTTTCATGTGTCTCTCGATTAGGAATAAGAGATGGGACTAGTTCGGTTAGGCTATTCAGACTTACAAGTGTATTGAGATTGCAAATATTTTCATGAGAAACAATAAATCTTTTCTTTATCTTCTTACTAAAGGTTGAAAATGAGTCGTTCGAAAATATTATTTCAATCGAAAGTTAATTAAATTTACAGAAGTTTAAAAAATTAGTACTTATAAAATTTATTCCATCATCTTCTTGTTCTATAACAAGATTATTTTTATCGCGTTTCCAAAAGACCCTCATGATTTCTGTTCAATTCTCATATGTTGCTGTATGCCGATGTTCTTTTAGTTAACCCTCGGTTATCGTCCTCATTTTATAACTTCAACAGTGTCCTGGGGTCCGCGTGGACCCATCCCATAAAATTACAAAAAAATGATGGTTTTGCTTTACGTAAGGTATTTATTTATATACTATAAATTTTCAAATGCTCTTCTTCCTAGAGACTTATTTATCGCTTCTTATAGAGGCAATATAAGAACGCACGATGCGAAGAAAAGGATTCACTTATACTAGTTTCATAACAGAATGGAAGTGCAAGTAAAAAAATCATACATCCAGTACATTCAGTCTTCGGTACGAATATCCTATGTTAGCACATACAGTTGTCTATGAATAAGAAAACGAGATATTAGTTGTTATGGTGTTTATTTTTATCTTCTTCTTTTGTATATGATCAACAAAGTTTAAAACAGAAATTTCTCTACTATGTGGATCAAGTTGTCATTATTTGATAGTTTTCGAGAAATTTTTAGTTCTTCTTTTCACATGTTCAACAAGTTACTACTGTGATGCTGCTGGAATGCGAAAGACAAACATTTTGTCCACAATTATCACAGATTTGTCGAACTTTTCGTCCAGGTTTTGCAGAACACAAGTAACGTCTTCATTTTATTCGATTTGTATGAGTATTCACAATAAGATCTTTTACGATTCCCGAAGGAACTTGATATCCAAGAGATAGAAGAGCCAGTTTGACCTTCGGCATCAGGCGAGATTCTTGACTACGACGTTGATTTTGTGGAATACGCAATAAATGGCAGGTATAAAAAAGCGAAAAATCATATCTAAACTATCATTGGTGTCCTGGGGTCCACGTGGACCCATATCCGTATTTTTTCTCTCTTAGATCTATTCATGATTTTTTATCAGGATATTGTACATCTACCAAAGCCTAGAGATTACAAAAAACAAATGACTCGAAACAGTAAATAGTTGTGTAGTGCGAGACGAAAACCTGTAAAGTGGGTCCAAGCGGACCCCACAACACTAACCGAGGGTTAACCTATTCAAATTTGAGATGGACAATTGTAATTCGAAAAGAATTTATATTTATCGATTTCTATACTATTCCAATTTCAAAAAGAAACTTCGATGTTGCTCATACCTAATCGTGATATTTAAGTTTATTTATATATCTTTTTCTCTCATAGTACCAAGTATTGATCAATCATGTGGTGAACGTGATCTAAAAAAATTATCAAATGACCTTTCACGTCGTCCAATTATTCGTCTTCCAATAACACAAATAGAAAAATTTGAATGTGGAACTATTGGACCTCATCTTCATCCTTCTTCAATTGCTCGTCAATTATTTTATTTACCATCAATTCATAATCGTCATCATTTATCATCTCAAATTTATGAAACAACTGAATCCCTGACAGATCAATTTTATTCGTTTATGTCATCAAAAAATATTGATGATAAGCAAGCATTTGAATCAATACTCAATTGGCAACAACAACAATCACAACATCCAATATCAAAGACTGAACAGAGTAAATGTCAACAGGTATACTTATTAGATACATCAACAAGCAATACAATTCGTGGTAGACAATATCCTATCTTAACTGATGAAATCGATATGATTGATGATCCAAATGCATGTACTATTGTTAATAAATGGGCTTTTGCTGATTTAGTCAATGCTGAACGAGAAAAATTTATTCAAGAATCAAGAAATAAAATTACGAAATCAAAAAAACGATCACATCTAAATAATAATATTAAAATATGTTTACGAAAACGACCATTAACACAATTTGAACAAGATGTATTTAAAGAAGTTGATATTATAAGTATTGTTGATTCACAAACAATATTTCTTCATATACCATCAATAACTATTGATAATCAAGTATTCATTAAAAATCGAAAATTTAAATGTGATCAAACATTTGATGAACATTGTCAAATAAGCACTATTTATAATTCAACTCTTGCACCATTACTTGATCTAACAATTGATGGTAGCAAGTAAGAATATAAAAGATTATTTGTTGCTTTTTAAATTGTTTTTATAATGATTTATACGATTTACTTTTCGTTGATTATTTGGAAGAGTAGACAGTGTCGGTGATGTGACTAGGTGTTTGCGTCATTTCTACACTCACACCCCGATTGTCATAAACGAGCACTTATTTTCTCATTTGTCTTCTTGCAAGTGATCAATGTACTGTAATTCTTGTACGTGGTTCACCTCCGAGTTAGTTCCATTGCGTGATCTCTCATTTGGAATTCTTCTCAATTCGATCTCTTTCCAATTCATTCATGATTCATCAAACTAAAAGGAACTAAGATACTTTCACTTATCTTCATAATGAGTCATTTAAAGAATTCAGCATCGAATAATCTTTGATCGAACGAAACTAATTTAATAAGGCAACTTAGACCCAAAGACATGTCAGCGATAGAGCTTGTCGGGTCCTAAGTTTTTGGATCCGAACTTGACTGAATCTAGAACCAATCTGACGAGCTCTAATCAGCAATCATTACTAAGATACACATTGAATACGAAAAGTGAACAACAACCGTGCAATCACAACTATATATCGTAGTGTACTTGTATTTAACTATTAAGGTTTGCAATTAGTGTATCTGTAGAAAAACTATATATTCGTTTAAAAAAAAGCTTTTTCGATAGATCGATAACACTCTATACACTAACTGTTAGAGCACCTTAAAGAGTGTAAGTACTGCGGTATCATTGGTCTTCAGAAGTACTTAGCCTTAACTAATTGGTCTAATTGACAGTTGGAACATTACAGAGTGTCAGAGTGAGGATGTTGTCAGTGTCAAGTAGCACCTATAGTTTATTAATACATAAGTGTCAAATGAATTCTGAAAAAAGTTGATAATCAAAAATACTATCATGCAATATCATGATGAATCATTGTAATTGATAATATTATGATTACATTGAGAAAGAATCTAAGTGAAAGATCATTGAATATGATCGATTTTTAGACTCCTTTGTATACACAGTTTATAATAATTTGTATATAGTTGTTTATGTTTAATTGGTGGTGGAAAATATTCGGGTAAAAATTATCTTCTTCATTCATTAATTGATTTATTTGCATTTGATCTAATTCGTCTTTTATCATCATATGATATCTATATTAAATTACTTGGTATATGTCATAATCGAATGATTGATCTTTTACAAAATTATTCACCAATACGTATTATTAAATCTATGGATTGGACATTAATACCAAATGATGTATTTCATTTAAAAAATGATAATGATATTGATTATATAACATGTCAAATAAAAAAACGTCGTCGTTTTATTCATCAATTAATACAAATTAATTTTCATGAAAAAGAACAATCGATAATGATCGGTTCATTGGTGATTGTTG